CCCATCGTGCTTGCCATCCCCCCGCCTGCCACCCCAGTGAGTTCGTTTCGGATCTCGTACCCCCTCCAGAGCTCGTTGCTCAGGGTAACCCCTCTTGACGGCTGACCGGTTGCCTGCCCGCTCCTCCATGCTCTCAGAGGAGTTGGAGAGATGAGAGAAGATGGAGACCTGGTAAACCTTCTGGCGCTTGATCTCTGTCTCATTATAGCCCACGAGAATGCCACGGTGGGTGCAGCGCTGTGAGGAAGGTTCCAAGGGTGCCTCTGTAGTGGGCTGGGACAGGCTGGGGTCTGGGCCAAAAAACTCTGGGGGCGGGGACGTCTCTGTGTGGATGTGCCGCATGGTTCCTTACTTGCCTGGACTCCAAGTGGAGCCGGAGTCACAACAGCCCATGCAGCAGCAGGAGGGGGACCGTAAAGTGCCACAGGTCAAGGTGTGAGGGCAAGGGGTGGGAGCTGGACTCCGCCTTGCTCAGGATGTCTATGTGAGTTCTCTGCTACAGGATGCACTGCAGCACAGCATCTGGAAAGAGATACCAGGAGGATGGAGATCAGCCCAGGATCCCTGTCCTCCTCCAGGCTTTTGGCTGCAAGGGACCTGCCAGACATGGGCAGCTCCCCATACAGTGTCACTTGGACTTCCCGCTCCAGGGACAGGAAGAGGAACCAGGCTGGTGTGGCTCTCCAGGGAACCCTGTGGCGTCACCCACCTGCAGGATCAGCACTTCCTTCCCAACCTGGGTAGGAGTCTGACAGGAGTCTCCCAGCTGGGCTGGAGGCTACCGGGGACAAGTCCAGGCAAGTAGAGCGAAGGGAGCCTGCCCTCTGCCATGGACTTGATGTACTTGCACTGTTCTGGAATGCAGGAGTCAGGCAGGTCAGACCAGTCCCAGGGGCTCAGGCCTGTAATCACCCCTTTGGGGAATAGCAGCAAGATCTTCCAGAGCTCACCAAGACCTGTCCCAGCCACATGCACTGAGTGAGGCAGGGCTGGGGCACTACGCTGCCAGACCCATGATGGCAATGAGAACCTGGCGAGGCAGCCTGGGGAAACCTGACCTAATGTCACAGCTCTGCTCCACTCCACATCTCCACCACTTCAATTAGCAGCTGGGTGGCATGGCACCAAGGGCTGCAGAACCCACCATGGGCTCCTGTACCATCCACCCACACCTGCCTACCCCAAGGGCCTGACCTCCATGCTGCATGGCACCTCACTTTTGATTTTCAGCCCAGTTTGAGAGCTTTTCTGGCATGATAAATAGTGAAACGGCTGAAAGAGCTGAGGAGATGCAGGAAAAGTTACTGGCAGACAGAGGACCTCCAGAGCTTGACAAACTGCTTGTGCCTGGAAGCTCTGCCTGTCCCCACAGTTCTGCCTGCTCTTGTGGAGCAAAAGGCTTAGGGGCAGGTGAGCAATAGGGTAACTGGTTCTCCAGGTGGGTCAAGGCTATCTGGAGAGCAAGGCTGCACATGGTATTTTCACCCCTGCCATGATGGGGATGGCAAAGTGGCAGACTAGGGTGGTTGAGCCCAGGATTTTGTTTAAAAGGAGTGACGAAAGGTATAACCATGCACCAGGACATGCTGGGGGCCAACCAGCTGGAAAGAAGCTTTGCAGAAAAGGCCCTGGTGGACACTAAGCTGAGCATGAGCCAGCAATATGCCCTTAACACAAAAAAGGACAGCAGTATCCTGGGCTGCATTAGGCACAGTACTGCCAGCAGGTCAAGGGAGGTGATTCTTCCTCTCTGCTCAGCACTGGTGAGGCCACACCTGAGAGATTGCAGCAAAGGGCCACTGAGCCTCCCCTCCCTTGAGGAGCAAGACTGGCAGACTGCTAACAACAGATGAGGAGAAGGCTGAGGTACTGAATGACTTCTTTGCCTCAGTCTTCACTGGCAGTCTCTATTCCCACACCTTTCGAGGGGATGGCCTGCAAGATGGGGACTGGAGGAGCAAAGTTCCTCCCACTGTAAGAGAAGATCAGATTCATGACCACCTGAGGAACCTGAACATGCACAAGTCTATGGGACCTGATGAGATGCATCCCAGAGTCCTGAGGGATGTCGTGGTTTAGCTGATGGAGTTGTCAAGCCACTTCGATGATATATGAAAAGTCCTGGCAGGCAGATGAAGTCCCTGGAGACTGGAATAAGGGAAACATTGCACCCCTTTTTAAAAAGTGTCAAAAGGAGGACCCCAGGAACTACCGACCTGTCAGCCTCACCTCTGTGCCTGGGAAGACCATGGAGCAGATCATCCTAGAAGCTATGCTAAGGCACATGGAGGACAGGGAGGTGATCTGAGACAGCCAACATGGCTTTACCAAGGGCAAGTCCTGCCTGACCAACCTTCTATGATGGAGTGACCACATCAGTGGACAAGGGAAGAGCTACTGATGTTGTCTTTTTTGACACAGTCTCCCACAACATCCTTCT